ATTTCCCTTATTGAATGACAAACTGTTTTGTCATTTGCCAAATTCGTTTGTCGCTCAAACAGCAATTTATAGTTAAAGTTGAAGTTTGACAGATGCTTGGCATTTTTAAATTCAAATTTTATTTCCAGTCAGCTTTAATATTCTAATTTCAGCGTCATTTATTTGCAGCATTTGCAAGCTTTAAAAATGCAACTTTATTTTCAATATGTCAGTGACAGCGGCTTTCGGCAGATGTGGGAAATATGAGCATTGCGCATAAAAGCCGAGCCTTCAATTGTAATTGAAATCTATCAAGTGAAAGACGCAACCGCTGAAAGGAAATGTAATTCAATGAAACGCTTTCACTTTTCAATTAACAAGCCTAAAAACCAAAAAAATAAATGTATATGACAAGTCAAAGGAAAAACCTCATGCTGTTGCTTTATATACGAGTCAAGGCTTTGCAATTTACTTCCAATAATTTCAGAGACGCAGCAAACTGTCAGTCATTTCTCGAATGGGGGCATTTGCAATGGAAATGGAATGAAATCAAATCGATTGGAATTTAATGATATTATAACAATATTTTCGCATTGTTTTTTTGCATCACTTCTGGTTTGTTTTTTGTAATCGTATGCTGTAATGACATGCAATTATTTTCACATTAAACCCCATTTCCGTTATTGTAGCGAGACATTAACGCCCGGCCACATCCGGTAAACATCTATGAGGGCTGTCAGTTAATGGCCAGCAAACAATATTGACGTTTCGTTGATTAAACAATCAATACTTCAATCGCATGCTCAATATTTTTTTGCGCTGCTGTTGCTGTCTTTTTGAATGCACAATTTTTATCTCTGGCTTTTATACCCTGTACGCATAGCCATGTGTTAGCAGCGTATCATTGAGCTCTACAGGTAAGGCCGAGCTACTTATCCCCTCAGTATCAGAATTAAGATGTATATTTTTAAGTGTAAAAACTTCTATACACCGTAGACATAATGAAAACACCATTTCCCTTCCTGAGCATATCCCATAGTGAAGCAAACTACATTCCATAGTTAGCTTTGCGTAATATCTGTTCTTTGAGCATACTCGTCTAGAAAATTTTTACTTATTCTGTCTGCTATTGTCTTTTCGTAATTAAAGTGATATGTAGGTGGGCAGACAGTAACGGTTCTCCGTGCTCATCAGCATTATCATTATGATAACTATCTTCATTACTATCAACAAGAGCCGGAGCTGGAGCTGGAGCCGGAGTAGCGGCAACAGCAGGAGCATCCGTTGTATCCCTGCTTGGCATCCAACATGCGCATATTAAAAATTATTTTTGCATATGCTGGCAAAATGAAAATGGGCGTGGCTCAGAAAGGAAAGCAAACATTTTTGGAATGAAAAAAGTTGCTGAAAATTGCATTTTAAAGAGCGCGGAGCAGCTGGAAATATTGCAGGTATAGCTTTAATAAATACTCAATTTTCGCATATTTAATAACCATTTAACACCATTTCCCTTATTTATGCTGTCTGGACACTCAAATTGAAATACACTGCAAACTGTCTTTCCTTTTAATGGGCAGAAGTATTAACATAACATCTATTGCCTTAAAAATGAAATTGTATTAAAACTAGTTCACATTGAGTTGCAATTGTTTATCTAACCAAGGGGGCTATAATTTCCATCGGATTGTAGCCCACGATATTGTATACTTTTGCGCTGACAATTAAATAATTTCTACTGCATACTCTTATACGGTTGAGGTAAATAACCCAACTAAAATATATATAAACACTTAGAGAACGTGTAAGCTCTTTCACGTCCATATTTGTGAGTTTCAAAGGACATGCTGCGTCCCAACTATATCGTTTGGCTTTAAAGGTTTATTTTATTTTGCGTAGCAAATTTTATATATTTATATTTATTGAATTAATATTTTTTCGGTTTTAATTTTCCCAATTTTTTTTGTTTACCTTGGCTCCTGCAAGTTGGTGCCCGTTTAGTTATTTTTTATGTTATGCAGAATGCTTAAGTCGCTTGTTATAATTTGGCCATGTCTAGATACTTTTAATATACACTTATAAATACTTTGGCCTTGGGCACATGTGTATTGCTCTTGTTGTTGCCCACTACTGTCTGCGTGTTAAAGTTGAAAACACTCATACGCCGCAATCCCCACATTAATCTTGGCTACGAGCACACTTACAAACATTTGGCGAACTATGCGTGTGTGCGTGTGTAAGCATGCACATTAAAAGTTTGCCTAAGAGCTTATGGCGCCATTTGTTAAAAGCGATTTTTAATGCAGCTTCAAAAACTCAACCCTCACAGTCATCCGCACGCACACACGCGTAGGGAGATTGGCACCCCCAATGCCATCGCTGACACATCTAATGGCTTTGCCCGCATTAGAAGCAAACGTTTTTTTTTTTTATAATGAACGCACATTATTTTCATACACTAGAGCAGGGTAATCGAAATAAGTCAATGAAAATAAGAGAACATATCTTAAATATACCTAAAACGTTTTTTAGTTCTAAAGAGAGTGGACAAATAATATTTATATTTCCTGTAGCTGGAGTTTAATGGGAAGTTCAGCCATTCAATTTCACACAGAATTAAATTAAAATTTGCGGGCTATGTGTTAAATAGAGTTGTAGCTAGCGTATTTGGCATTCGTTATGATTAAAACTAGTCTTTAGACGGTGTTTAGCATATTTAAACTGATATCCAGTTTATTGTGTGAGGCTTATTGTGGGTGGGCAGAGCGGGCAGGCACCGACATTGGCTGCTTCATAATTAGCTGGAGAGCATTATATTGGAATTAAATGATTTTTGTCACAGCTTGACATTGGCGGGATTTAGCTGAAATGGAGAAGAGATTAAAGAGCATCACTGGCAATTGCTGGCGCTTAATCAATTTAACTGTTTCAACTGCTCATAAAGTGCTTCGCCTGCATTTCCCACTGACATTTTAATTGAAAAACTAAATAGGATGAAATATCTGTGCATATCTGAAATTAAATCAAATGTTGTCCGCCTTCCTCTCTGCGTGCCAGTGTGTGTGTACATGTGTGTAAATTGTTTTTTGTGCCGGTAAATATATTAATATTTCAATTTCATGCTAAGTTTGCTTTACACAAAACAAAAATCATATAAATGATAAATAACAAACAAAAAACAAACGCATTTAAAAATTTGTATAGCTATGAGTTTTGTTTGCTGCAATATTTGAGCATAAATAAATTAAATTATATTTTATTATATATTTTGCTTATCACATAAATAAATAAATATCTGCAACTGTCTGACAAAGTAAACTGCAAAATAGTTCGGACATTAAATAAAATTGTCAAAATTTGTAGATATTTCAAAGCAACGAGCGTTGTGCATACTGTTGATAAGTATAGTATACAAAGGGTATAATGACCATGCATACCCTACCCTGACGGGCCTTTGGGAATATTTAACAAACTTAAGGGCACCAAAAGGCTGGCGCAGTAATAATTCCATTTCAAAAGAAACCTTTTCTGAAATGTTGCAATAAAAATTATAATAAATATGAATTTTTTTTTTTAAGGCTAACAATTATACAGAACGCCATTAACAAATATGTGTATAAAGCATTAATTGAATGCATATTATGACAGATTAATTTATGTTGATGTCATTAATCAACGAAAAACTGTTTGCTACCAATTTGAGTGCGACATTCGCCTGAGGTCAGCGAGAGGTCAGAGAGAAATCATTTAAAATCAGCTGTTACTTTAGCAATGCATTAATGTCAGTCAGCTGTGTAATTAATGCGGTTAACTGAACAGCAAGATCATCATCGGTTGCAGCAGCAGCAACAGCAACAATTGCAGCTGCAACAACAACAGTAACAATGAATGACTAACATTGGCTAATATGGCTAATAATATGGCTAATCTGTCTGGCACTGATTTGATTAGAGCAGAAACATTTGCCATTCAGCTCTGGGCCGTTCAGTGCGATGCAAATGCGACATATTTGCGGTAGCTCGAATGTCAGCAACATCATCAACATCAACTGCAGCAACAGAAACACCCAAACAACAACAACATTGACATCAAACACGTCAGGGCGAGGGCAATAATTAGCACTTGACAGCTTGTCGGTGTCTGTGTGCAACTACAAGAATTTTGTATTTGTATCTGTTATTTGTATCTACATTTGTATATGCGGGCATGTTTTAGCCAGTAGCCAAAATGGCTTTCAGTGTCGACCGGCGTCATCGACAAAGTTTTTTGCCGCGGGCAATTAATTAAACGCGGCGCCGTGATAAATTTTGTTTTCCGCAAATGCTCTAAGCCCAATTGGATACTTTGATTATTTGAAAAGCGTTGTTTAACTTTAGCACGTGCGAAACCTTCCTAATTAATATGCTCAATTGCTGTACATTTTGGATATAAAACCCAAAAATAATAGCTTCGCCTAAGTCAAGCCAATGGAAACGTACAATTTTATTGTTCCACTTAGAATCATTAAGGCTTCAATTGGAAAGGAAGGTACTGAGGAATGCCACTTCGTAGAGTTAAGAAAAGAAATCAGATGTTTCAGTGCCAGCCTAATCAGACTGTCTTTTGAAGTCGCCCTGAAGAGAAAACACCAATTCTGCTTCTTTGATCTGCGATCATAAGGGTAAACGTAGTGCAAATCATTAGTTTATATTTTCACTCCTACAACAGAATTAATCATGCAATCATTTGTCATATGATCGATGGACTAGACTGGTAATTGCCATTAGCTACAAAATGGTATAATTTTTTCATTTAAGGCTCAAATTTGTGTCTATTTATAACAAATTTGTCTAATGGCATATTTTTGTAAAATATGCACTGACTAATTTTTGTTTCTAGCTAAATTTCTCTTTAGCATAAATGTGTCTCATTTAATCGTGGATTTTTGCACGAACTGACAATTTTAATTGTTGCTAATAAATAAAAGCGCAACTTAAAAAATGTTCGATTCAATTGCTTGGCTTCTTTGTATTGTTTTAATTTAATTTTATTGTTGCACTGCGCTTAACTAATTTAATTAATTTACTAGATTTTAATATGACGTGGAAAGGGCGTTAGCGTTGGCAACGGACCGCGCGGCGGACGCGGCGTCGTTGACTGAAAATATGTTGCATACTGACGGATGAGCTCGGGCGAGAATCGCGAAGAGCCGGAGGTTTCGCTAGCGACGCTGTTGGTTCTGGATTCCTCGCGTGCGCTTAGCTCCTGCAGCTGTGCAACATGTGGCACGCTGCGTGCGCTTGTGCTGCTTACAAACGGTGGTTGCTGCGTGGTGACGGCGGCGACGGTGGTTTTGCTAAAGCTGCTGCTGCTGGCTGCCTCCACTTGTGGTTGCACCACATCCTCAGCGAAGGGCGGCAACAAATCCAAGGCGAGCGCTGGCTGTTTGGCGCTTGGCTGCTCAGCCCTGATGACCGTCTCCTTGGTTCTGGCCTGCTGCTGCTGCTGATAGTATGACTTTTTGGTGGGCTTTGTAGCTGGCGTTGAGGTCTCCGTTGTGGACTCCTCCAGTGGTGGCGGCAATAAATCATTGAATGGCACCAGTACGTCCTTAGGCGCTGCTTGATTTATGTGCGCCACATCGGCGACGCAGTGGCAAATCAATGCGGCAGCTGCGATTAATAACTGTAAAATAGTTGGGAAATGCTCTTAAGTTGTGTGCGGACGATACGAAACATGATCGATGGCTTTTGGCGTGTGTTATTGTTTTTTGTGTTTTTTTCTTTGTGTTTCTATTTATGTTTACACAATGTAATTAGCTTTGCTTTTGGGCACAAATTATGCAGTCGTATCTGTTATGGACGGAATTTTATGGCACAGCTCATTTGGTTATAGTCTAGATTTGAGCTTTTGTTCGAATAGTGGGCAGCGAGCATTTTGAGCTGACCTCGAAAGCAATATCGTGAAGGGGAAACATCTGTAGCCTTGCATTGTTTGATAATTTGTATCACATTCCCCCTTAAGAACATAAATATCGTACATAACGTAGGTGCTAGCTAAAGGTCGAGACAAGTGCCTCTTTAAAGCCTGTTAAATATAACAAATTATGCCTAAAACGGAGTGCAAGCCAATTTATTGCATTATTAAACCGATTAGCCAAAAAATAAACGCAAATTCGCTTTTGGCTATTAATACTATAAACCTGTTGTTCTACATGAAATTTACATTTTTGCCTACAAGGTTTTGCTCGGTTATGCAACATTGCTTGTATATTTCTTCTCAGAGCATTAACTGAAATACTCTTGCATTATTTATAAATTGACATCATATTTCAAATTAATTGTTGTTCATCAAAGCATCCGCAATATGCAAATCTCTCTGGAAGCAGAGGGTATGCACGCTTTAGGAGTACTCAAAAAAAAGAGGCAAAGAATAAACCTACAAGTTAAATGCCCCGTTTAGGCTTCCTGCATAGTTTGCATTCATCTAGCATATTTATAATAATTTATCTGTATATCTACAAATTTGTTTTCAGCATGTTATGCAAATTCAATACTGCAAAAATAAATTTGGAAAAATTCCAAATAGTTGGTGTTATCAAGATGCTTGCTAGAATAACTTGTTATTCATAAGCGATACGAAGCATGCGCTTCAAGAGACTCTTATATTGACGTCACAAATGTGTGCAACATTTGACAGAGGAGTTTTTTTAGGTTTCAAAGTGTTTAGCCATTTGACTACCTGTTGCTATGCAAATTACTTTCTAATATATTTCAGGGGAAACTTGTTACAGATTCAGCTTATTAATGTGTCAATCGTCAACTGGTCTGTGGGGACCACATTTGGGAAAAAGTAAATACACAAATTTGTATCCCATTTGAATTTAAGCAGGCATTTCCATTAAGCTCAGCAAATATCACAATATCTGTAATGCCCAAGTTAGAAATTATTTGAGTTCGTTTTTCAACATTAACTATACAGAGTTCGTTAGATTTTGTTTGCTTAGAGGTATTGTAATTAATCAACATTCTTGCAAGATTCCACATCAACTGGTTTTCTTGACGGCGCCTTTAAGAGCTTCTCTCAACACAATTATTGTATAAACCATTTTATTTATATTAAACTCTACGTATATGCCTGTTATCGGACTTGCATCTTCATTCTACACTCACAATGCGAAGCGTCATAATTCCTTAACTGTCTTCGAGCTGTCGCGCTTGGGGAATTTAAGTCGACTAAAAGATGCGCTGCGCATGCGCCACGTTTTTATAGACACCGGCTTTAAACTAAAAAAAACTTTAAGCATATAGTTTTCAAAAATTAAGCATTTTTAAAGAGCGAGAACTTACGCGGAGCGGACGCCAAAGTCAAGCAGCAGACGAATGTAAAGTTTAAAAACCGGATTAGGCCACGTTTATTAACGGGTTTCGCGGCTCTTGTTGTTGTTGTTGTCGCTACTGCTGATGGAGCAGCTGACCAATTAGGGGACATTGGCAACTTATGTTTTTGTACAGGTATGCGATGGATTCGGAGCTGCAGACTGTATCTTGGTTGATGGATTTGAACTCTGACGGTTCACGGACGTATTTGATAAATATATCTAAATCTGTATCTGTAGCAGGTGCCACAGAAAAGTAAAGAGCGAGACCCATATTTTAGGCATTAACTGTGCTTTTAATACACCGGATGTAATTTATTGAGTGCTAAAAAATGTTACTGTTGCCCCTCGTAGCTGGTTTTTAATTAGTCGCAGACAACTTCCTACTTGCTACCTGTTATCAATATCTGCAAGTTTGTTGATGGATTTTCTGGGCGCCCTAATTGATTTTTGTTCGACTCGAACAGGTTCACTTTTTAAGCATTCTTTCTAGTGCATAAACAAAGAGCATATTCATTTCTTTTCAGCCAAGTGAACGCCCCCATTTGCATATAAATTGAGGGGACCAAGTGAATTAGTAGCACTTAAATGCTTTGTGCTAGGGGAAGATCCATTAATTTGCTATCCATTTTTGCACTTTCTATGCTTTGGTTTTTACTGGCTTCATTCGCACTGAGATACATCTGCAAATTATGCAAATTATTTGGCGCTGATTTTTAACACCGCAACTCTCAGTGTGAAGGCTCATAAATTAAATAAACATATAAATTTGCCAGCACCGTTGAGTGTTATTGGCCAATGCTTAACCGGATTTCGTACAATTTAGTCTGTGAGATTAATTGCTCGACAGCAGATTGTTAAGATCGGGCTTATGACATTTCTGATTAGATACTGTTTCTATGCATAAGCTTATTGTCGGTCATTAAGCAATTATTTATGGTCTTTCTAATTATGATTGTTGACTTGACAAGCTTAATAAAGATTTAACTATTCATATATGATATATTCATGTATTCATGCTATAAAAAAAAAATAAATTATATAAGTAAACTTGTTATAATTCATTAAAGTGAAAAAAAAAAAACCATACATTTAATTTTAAAGGTGCTATTCAAGCCATAGATCATGTTCCCTAAAGTCAATATATTTTTTTTGTATATAGTAGTATAGTATATATGGTACAGTATAGTATACTAGTGTATTTACTAGTATTATTATTTTGTGGTGTATGTTAAATAAGCATACATATTTTTTAACCAATACGAATTTGTTAAAATTATTGCCAATTATATGATGGATATTTAATTATATTTTTCGTAAAGGTTTTTATATTTTTTTCTCAGTATTTACCGATTTAATTGTGTGTCTATGGAATCGAACTTATTTTTATCAAGTTATTCTTACAGAATTAATCTTAGCTCCATAGATTAATATTGATTTTTTGATTTCAGTTTTAACCGCAAGTTCTCTCAGCAGCAGAGTAAACCCTTTCAATTTTGTTAAATTATTTATTACTTTTACATATTAACGTGCCGCAATTTCATCAAAAAAATATTATTTATCCCGCAAACCTTTTGGCAGGCAGACTCTGCTTCAAGTGTTCAAATTGCCAGTCATCGGATTGTTGTTGTTTTTATTTGGATTTCTCGCTGTTGTCCTTGTTGTTATTGGCATTGTTATTGTGGTTCGATTGTGCTTTATACGGAACTCCAACTCCCATTCGTTTCGTTTATTTTAATGCCTGTATTTATATTTATATGGATGTGTGCGCTTAAAACGACAGCTCGTATGTCGGCACATATGAGGCTGAGTCCCATTGGCCTGGTTCCTTCAGGAGGACTCTACGTACGAGGACATCAGCGGTTCTTGTATTACCTGAATGACTGCCTGGTTCTCTGCCAGTATGTCTGAGTTTCATGAGTTGCTTTTATACCCTATAACCATATAAAAGGTATGAAACAGGTATGGAAGTGTATGTAACTTTAATAAAATATATAATTTGTGCAATTAATTCTATACGACATATAAAGTTATTTTTTCAACATTGAACAACTTTATTTGCTTTATTTAAAATGTTTTATTGTTATTTTCTTGGAGATATATATAGGGTATAACATATATACGAAGCTATGCAAAGGGTTAAGGATAAAAATCTATGGGTATCCATTAGCTGTGCATTCATGCCACTTGTCATTTATTGATGTTATTCTTTGGGGTGGCATATAAATCGAAAATTTGTTAATATTACCAAACGAAAGGAGAACTGGGTCTAGCGATGCCTGTCTACGTGTGGCATAAACATGGGTTAAGCCGCCATTGAGAGTTCAAATTATCCAAACAAGCCCGCAAAACACCCAATTCAAGCATGTAATATAAATATCGCATATTAAAATCAAAGTCTTTAATAGAAGCATAAATATTTTCTTTGCATTTATGTGTTTATTAAAATCTAACCAACTGTATAGTCTCAAAGTTTAGATCGTCTTTATCTGGTCATCATAGCAACTCGGTCACTTTTAGATGACATTTCTGTCAAGGAATATGTACAATAATAATATGTTTTTGTATATTTCCGCAGTTGCTGTTTCTATCTCTTAGCTTGTGTATATACGAAACTGATTAAGTGCTTGGCACTCCTTGTGCTGGGGTCAAGGCAACATCTCGGAGCGCGCTCTGCCTGTTGAGGCAACGTCTTTGGGCTTGTGGAACATTCAACGTTTTACTTTGCAACCGGAGCTGGCAGTTGTTGTTTTTGTTTTTGGAGCTAGTAGTTGCCAGGTAAACAAGCCAAGGCAGCACTTCCTACTGCATTGTATTTTGACCAGGCGAGGTCGTTTTGCCTGCCAATCTGTTTGCTCACGAACTTCCCGGAGATGGAGCAGACGCAGCTGTTCAAAGAGGAAAGAGGTGGAGTGGCCGTGTGAAGTGTGCTATGAAAGGGGAGTCCAGTTGTCGGTGCTTTTGTTTTGGCTGAGTCGCTTACAACTTCCTGGTCACGCTTTTGGCCTTGCATTGCCTTGGCTTGGCATGGCTTTTGGCTGCCTTCGGCTTGTCGTTGACTTTTTGGCCCGCGTGCCCTGCCTCTGCTTCTGGCCGTTTATTGCTTGCCCCTTGTTGTTGCGCTCGGCCACAAGTTTGTTTTCGTTTTCGGCTGTTGCCAACTCGAGTGCCCCATCCATCAGCTGCGGCGAACTCCAGTTGCAGCTCTTAGCTGCCAGTTTCCTTGTAATTAGCACAAAAAAGAGCGTAACCCAAATGTTGGCAACTTTAAGTTTTATTTTTATTTTTGGGGCACGGCAACCCGCTGAGCGACAGCGACTGCGGCTTCGACTCCGTCTACGACTCAGAATGTTGCATGATTTGCGGGCCCAAGTCGAGCCACTCGCTGGGCGCACTCGAAAGTCATAAAGTGCAAAAATTGTTACACTCAGGCAGAAATGAATTATGAAAGTTGTTTGCAGTTTTTGTTGCACTCGCAACTAGAGAAAGATAGAGAAAAGTGCCGGACAAAGGCGCCGGAGATCGCGGGGTACGGCCCACCAAAAACTGTATAAGACATATTTTCTTCTTATTATTTTTATTTTTACTTTATTTCTACTCTCTGCCCAGCGAAAGTTTTAGGTTCTTGGAGTTTTGGAGTTTGCAAGTTGGGTGCATATAATTTAATTCAATTTGACTACAAAATATTGCAGACCTAATGAAACAAACTTAATAGAGTTTTAAATACTTAAACTTTGTCAAAACATAAATAAAGTTAGGTGAAATTTCATTTACACCATGCACACCTTAGAGAAATGTTTTTAGCAAGAAAATGCTGAATAAAGTTATACCATTAAATGATTTTTGTGGTGTCAAGTTAGTAGCATGAGGTTAGTTTTAGATCGTTATTAAAAACTTCAATTTGATTAATTAAAATTTGATTTATATCTTGCTTGAATATAATAGTAACTAAAACAATATTTAATTAGCCTCTGTTTGATAAATGTGAAATTTTCTTAAAAATAAAACCATTTGGCTTTGAATTTGATATGTCACGTCCAGGAGCCAGTGGGTCTTCCCGTCAGCGACTGCCACGTTGGAAAATTGTAAACGAATAAATTAAATTAAGTTTGTGTGAACAAGTAAACGCAATTTTCGCAGCCACTGTGGCCATCATTATGTGCAGGGGACTAAAAAAATAAATAGCAATAAATACAATTTTTAATAGCTACCCCATTTAAATTACGTTCATTTGTCTGCTATTGATTGGCCATATGGCCTGACTAATTGGCCTCGGGGGTTAATTAAATCTCAACTTCAAATGCAAATGATTTCGAATGGCACCCAAAACATTGCGCACTGCGCCTAAAAGTCGACACCGGAAAACTTTGCCGCACACAAAAACAAACACACGTGGAGAAACTTGAGAACTTTTTGGTGCTGATGCTCGACATTAGCCGGCGGGGTATTTGAGAGCGGCGGGCGGGTTAGTGTGTTAGTCGGCTTGGGTTATTGCCAGCACAAAAACTTTAATTAGAAAGTTTTGTCACATGCTGGGTGCCAATGCCATCATGTTACCAAAATGTAACTTTACATATTGAGCGAGAGGGCAAAAGATATACCTATAGCCGTCGGTAACATGGCTGGAAACATGATGAAATCTGTGCACTGCAAATTTTTGGTAGCTCGCACCGATGCCAAAACACAGAGACAATCTAAACTTTTCGAATCAATTTTAATTACCATAAATATGGCTGAGCTTTAGCCCTGCCGCAGACACTCAGATACATTCACTCAGTCGCCCGGCGTAGAAATGGAGGTCGCGTATTCGTCATTTTACTGCCACAACCTGGTTCGGAGCGGGGATCCATGGGGAGC